ACATGTATATAAATGTTCATGCAGCATTATTAACATTCAAAAATAAAAACACCTCAAATGTCCAAAGGCAGGATGGACAAACTCTGATACTTTATGTACTCAGCAATAAAAAGGAATAACTATCATCACACAGACACACACACACACACACACAGAGGAATAACTATTGATACTTGCGAACGTGGGTGAATACTAAGCATATATACTGAATAACTTCACTTGTATGAGTTCTAGGACAAGAAAAAGTATTCTATAGTTAAACAAACTTAGATCATTTTTGCGTGAGGGGTGGGGAATTAAGATGTTTCCAGACTATTCTTTATCTTCATTGGAATGTGAGTTACACGGATCTAGGCATATGTTAAAACTGTATACTTAAAAACTGTCCATTTTTGCTGTGCATAAATTATACCTGAATTGAAAGTAAATTTAAAAATCTTAAATAAGAAATATGGTACATTTACACAATGGAATATTATGAAGCAGAAAGAAAGAAGAAGCTCCTACCCTTTGTGACAGCATGGATGGAACCAGAGAACAGTATGCTAAGTGAAATATGCCAGGTGGTGAAAGACAGATACCATAGGATCTCACCTATAAGTGGAATCTAATCAATAAAACAAACCAGCAAGCAAAATATAACCAGAGACCTTGAAATAAAGAACAAACTGACAGTAACTTGGCGGGGTTGGGGGGTGCGGAGAAGGGAGACAACAGGGGAACGAAGGGGAAGGGTCATCAAGGAACATGTATAAAGGACCCATGAACAAAGCCAAAGTGAGGTAGGATTGAGGGTGGGAGGTGGGGGTGGGTGGGGCAGGAGAGAGTGGTTGATAGAAAATGGAGACAACTGTTACTTGAGCAATAAAGAAAAAAATTAAAAAAGAAGTAGAGGTAAAAAATTATACATAAATCTTATGGAAATGCAATAAATCTCATAGATTACAAATTGAGGGGTAAATTATTTCTTTTATTATTGTCCTACTTTTTATTTGATATTTTTGGAATTTTATCCTATGAGAGAATTTATTTTCTCATGTAACCAAAAGTGTAGAAGTAGAAAATATCCAGAATTTCTTCATGTAGTAGTTTATTGGTTTCATCAAACAGTTCTATTCTCCTGCATTACACTCCTCAGCATTCCTTCTTAAGATCATTTCTGTTATTGGCTATTCAGAGAGTATTTGTTCCACACATCTGTACATAAACAATAATGCCCAGCAAGATGAAGGACCACAATTTCCTTGTGTCACTTGAACTTTATTATGAAATATTCAGACATATTAAATAGCATGCAATTAATATATGTAGGGCTTAAAGAGTAATAATGAAACAAACATGTATGACTTCACTGCCCAGCTAGAAGAAAGACATAAAAAGAGTTTTGAGCCCATCAGTAGATGAGTGGATAAAAAAGATGTAGTACATTTACAATGAAATATTATGCAGCCATAAAAAGAAGGAACCCTTACATTTGCAACATCATAGATGGACCTGGAGATTATTATGCTAGGTGAAATAAGCCATTCGGTGAAAGACAAATACCATATGATCTCACTTATATGTGAAATCTAATGAACAATAAAACTGACAAACAAAATATAAGCAGAGGCATGGGTACTTGAAACAGACTGACAGCTGTCAGAGAGGAGAGGTGTGGAGCAGACTGGATAAAAGAAGGTGAAGAGATTAGCCACAGAACATATGCATAAACCATAGACACAGAACACAGTGTGGTGATGGCCAAAGGGAAGGGGGTGCAGGGCCTGGGTGGAGATGGGCAAAGGGGGGAAACGGGGATGTCTGTAACAGAGTCAACAATAAAAATAAAGTTAAATAAAATTAAAAAGTAAAATAAAATAAAGAATACCTTTGAAAACCCCTGTATGCCCCTTCCCAGTGGCCTTCTTCCCGTCCCCAGGAGAGCCATCCAATCTCTTGAATTTTTTATTTTTTTATTCTTTTGCTTTTCTTTATAGATTATCATAGTATAAAAAAAAGTTATTCCTAAAGAATAAATTGTTTAGTTGTGCATATTTTGGAACTTTCATAATTTAAATTAATGAGTTCTTTTTATTTGCTTAACATGTTCAAGACATTTTGTCATGTTGATACTTGTTTCTTTATTCAACCATTTTACTGCTATATGTTATTCCACTAAATGAATATACCATGGTTTATTTATTCAATGTTCTCTTTATGAATATTTTTCCAGTTTAAATTTTTATTATTTATTTATTTTGTTATTATAAAAGTATTCTAATGAACTGCATCTTATATATATCCTCGTAGTAGAACTCAAGAGTTTCTTTGGGAATATGTACAGAAGTGGAATTGTTAGGTGGTAGGCTATGCACTTCACTATATAATGCCATTTTCCTTCTAAATTGGGTTGTTCCAATTGCCAAAACCATTCTGATCCATCTCCTTGAAAATATTGAATGTTATCATAATTTTCAGTTTTTAACAATTTGATGAGTATAAAATAGTATCTTGATGCTATTTTATAGCATTGCAAACAGTCTCTCAGTTTTAATTTACACATATATGCTTTTTTTCCCTACAAAATGTCTTCCATATTTTTGGCCCACCCTTTCATTTTCTCTTGCCCATCTTTGTCTTTTTTCTTCTTTTCTTTTAGCAGCTTTTTATAGATTCTGGATAAACATTCCACTGGTTATATATATTTCAAATATCTTTTCTAAATTTGTGGCCTACTTTTTTCTGTATTAGATTTTTTCATAAACAGAAATGATAAATTTTAAATAGTCCACTTTATTAATAATTTCCTGTGTAACTTAACATATTTATATATTATTTATGATATATTTCTCAGATAGCCAACTACATTTCCTTCTATAATATTTAAAGTTTGGCTTTTCCTAAAAAATTTAATCCATCTGGAATTGTTTTTGTGTACAGTATGAGGTAGGGATTGCCAAGAACTCTGAAGAGTCTGAGATGTTACAATATTTGCAAATTAGCCTGCCATAGTTTCATGGCTACTCGCAGAAGACACAAGATTCCTAGGTTACATCAAGAGCAGAAGATAGAGTGTCATCATTAAAGACAATTTCTTAGTTCCCAGGTCCCACAGGGTGCTTCAAAGGTCAAGTGACTACTGCACACGCAGTTATGCAACACCCCAACCTAAGAGAATCCAAATCTTCTGGGTAGTAAGCATGCTTTACCTTTGCCCCAGAGGGACACCTAATCTATATTATACTGGAAAGTACTTAAAGTTGGCTTTCACTTCAGAGGGAAATATTATCTTTCTTTTCCAAGGCTGTTTGTTGTATAATATTCCTTAAAATGATAGTCTGGAGGAATAAAGGCATCCAATGCTTTCGTTGTTTGCAAGTCATGAAGAAATGTGAGAGGCCTATAGAAAATTGTTCCCTAATGGGGATGTGCTTTCTCCCTCTCCACCCCCATATTTGTGACCAATTGTCTCAGCAGGATTTAACGCATAGTTTGTTTTACCCCCAGATATCTTTAATATAATTAGGTTTCAGTGACTACATTAACATAATATAACATAATCAAGTTTCCATATTTGTATGTGTGTTTCTGGGCTCTCTATTCCTTTAATTGATAGTCTACCTCTGCATCAACCCCACAAAACTTTACTTAGTAGAACTTTAAAATAAACCTTGATCTGTGGTAGAGCAATCCCTCTTACCCCTCATAGACAAGTGCCCCACTTGTCCTTCAAGAATGTCTTAGATATTCTTGTCCTTTCATTCTTCCTTAAATTTAAAAATATGCACAATTTCCAATGTAAAACTTTCTTTTTCTTGCAATTCAGACCTTGCTTCTGGGATTGTTTTGCTTGCTTCAGAAGTTTGCTTAAAATTTCCTATCGGAAATTTTTTTCAGGTGCCTCCAATGAGACTTCCATCATAGATAGGTTCTAAGCCTCATTTCTTGTACTCTGCATACTGCCCTTTAAAAACTGAAGTTATAGTCTTCAGACATCAGCAGATGGCCTAGGGACAAGCGGCAGCTTTAGCTCATTTACTTCTCTACATGGTTCCTTTCACATTGTTTTCAACACCTTGGAAATTTTCTTGCCTTTTTTGGGCAGCTCAACTATGCACTTTAAAAGCTATTTTCTGTATTTCATCTACCTTTTGGGGAGTTTTACCTTGAGAGCTGTTTTCAGGATATCTAATTTTTCATATTGCAAGAAACAAGTCTTGTGTCAACGTGGTTTTAAAGTTCTTTAATCTCACAGAATTGTGTCTTGCACACAGTAAACCTTCAACAGATTTAATTGAAATAATTAAGGTTTCAGTTGGGTTTCTCTGATGCCACCTCATCATTCCCAATAACCCAGTGCTCAATTTAGCATTTATACTATTAGATAATTTTTATTCTCTCTATGAAACTTTACAGAATTATAAAATATTTCAAACATTCAGAAAATAATGTAATTCAAATATTTATACTTACCACCAAGATTAAACAGATGTTAATATAGTGTCCTATTTTCTTTAGTCTATGGTTATATGGTTATTAAACAAAGCAATGTATATTACTATAAAGCAATGTATATTATTCCAATTCAATTATTTCAATTCCTGAATGTAATCTTATTATAAATTACATTTTAATTAATAGTCCCTTTCTCTGCACTAAACATCCTTATATAACCTCCTGAAAATATGTTTGAGAATTTTTAGAATTAGAAGCCTACAACATAAAATGCTATATATAATAGGATATACTTAACTTTAATTCATTAGATATACCCAATTTCTTATTTTTATTCTTTATGATTGGGATGATATCAATCATTATATAAGGTCATTTTTACCTTATTTTATTATTTAATATTTACAATTTGTGAAAAGTTTCTAGTAGTCTGAATAAGAATTATGCCGAAATATGTTGTGCATGACACCTTGTGTATAATTCAAATTACATTAAAGTTTATACTATTAAATAATGAATAATTAGATGACTTGGAAATTCATGCCCCTCCTTTTTTTCTATAGGTATTTATGAGCCTCCATTTACTGTACTACTGCAGTGAACCAACCTTGGATGTGAAAATTGCCTTTTGTCAGGTGTGTGTTCCTTACAGGTAAAACAAGGTACAGTATATTCCCTTGTATTTCCATTTTGCCATTCCATTCTGCACATGTTCCACACCAAATTTAGCATTTATGTGATATTAAAAGCAGCTAAGGAAGAAGAGGATACTTAGGTGTGTTTTCTCCCTAGTTCACTTAAATTAGAGTGAGAATGAAGAGAATTTTTAAAAGTAATTATAAGTATAGTATTTAATCACTGTGTAAATGATTTCTTACTAAGTTTCACTTATACTTAATATTTTTAATATTTCTTTTCAAATCTTTGAAATGAGGCTTCAAGTCATCAAAAGAGCTGAAATCTCTGTCATTCCTCATCCTAAGGGCTGATGAGCCTCAAGTAGCGTAGCTCCAATACTCATATTCAGTAACATGCAGATCAGTAATAAAATCCAAACAACAATAATGACAAATAATACATTTAATACATAAATTTCACCTATAATGAACAGTAAGAAACTGGCAACAATGATTGGTAGTGTGAATTGTAAGAGCCTGTTCTCTTGTATTCCTATCAACTCTATTCTTAAGAAAGAGGCTACCTGAGGTGACTATGCTTATTATAGGTATGCTTAGGAAAGTTCTAACCTAAGCCTTTTGTCAAGGTGCAACTAATAGTGCTCCCTTCTATTTTTAGGAATGGATTTTGGAAAATAAATTTTATGGTAACTCTATTTACACCCCAAGCAGAGAGCTTCACATAAGTTTCTCTGTAATGATTTTCATCATTATCTTCTCATTTAACTGCTCTGTAAACAGAGAATGGTATGTGCCCACTGAAGCAAGTTTTAACAAATAACTCTACAGCTTCTATTATTTTAATACAATCATTTCTGATTCTATTAATATTTGATTATTATAGAAAATATACAAAAATATAAAGAGAAACAGAACATTGGTATATTTACTCTCTCTCAGCATATGAGAATTGCTATGAAAAAGTAAAATGTGTTACCTGCTATGAATAAGATTCATTGATTTGCCTGATCTCCCAGACCTCCAGATCTAGTAACTGAAGCCTCAAGACCTGTAGATAACTTCTTTTCTCTTAGAAGAACTCTGGGTCTTGACAAGACATCTTGGCTAGAAATTGTAGATCTACCACTTATTAGCCATTTAGTTGCAATCTTGAGCAAGTTAGCCTCTCTGTGCTTCAGTTTCCTTATGTGAAAAAGGGGGAAAATAATACTACCTATCTTCTGCAGTTACAAGTATTAAGTTAGTTGGTACTTACAGAGCCCTGAGAACAGTGCTGGAATATAAGTTTGTTAAGTTGATAACTCATTTTAAATACATTTACATTTACTCTTCTGGAGCTCCTTTTGAGTCCCAGTGTTTTAATTGTCAAAATCTTGAATACTCCTGATGTTATATGTTCAACCTGAATCTTTCCCCAAAACCAGACTTGTAGATTCAACTGACTGTTCTACATCTCTGCTTAGATGTCTAGGAGGCATATCAAACTATGCACATAACAAACCAAGTCCTTGATTTTTCCTCCAAAATTTCTCTGCTCTAATTCAGTAAATGCTAAATCCATCTTTCCAGTTGCTTAGAACAAAATCTTTGGAGTCATTTTTGGACCACACTTCACATCCAATCTGTCAGCAGATTCTGTTAGCTCTACATTCAAAATATATCTGGAATCTCACCACTTCTTACCATTCTCTCCATACCAGTCTGGTCTAAGAGACCATTACCTCTTGTCTGGATTATTGCCAGAGTTTCCAATTTATCTCACCGCCAGACAGTTTACTCTCAAAACAGTAAAATTGATACTTGAAAAACACAGGTGAGATCATGTCATGCTTTGGCTAAAAACAAAACAGAACGGGAAAATATTTCAATGTTTTCCCATCTCACTTATGGTAAAAACCCAAATTTTTATAATAAATAGCCAAGCCTTTATTGTGTAGCCACTAGAGATGCTTCCCTGAAATAGTCTTCCTTTATTATACACTTGGCTTTTTCATCTTCAGGGCTTTGCTCAAATGTCATTTTTAAGGGGGATTTATCTGATTCTCTTATTTAAAATTGCCTCTTCTTATCCTACACTGCTAACTCAACTTTTCTGCCTTTCTTTTTTCCACCATAACACACTTTTTATTTATTGATATGAGAGAGAGAGAGAGAGAGAGAGAGAGAGAGAGAGAGAAAGAGAAACATCTATTTGTTGTTACACTTATTTATGCATTCATTGGTAGATTCATGTATGTGCCCTGACTGGAGATAGAACCCACAACCTTGGCATATTGGGACGGTGCTATAACTGACTGAGCTACCTGGCTAAGGACTTGTTTATGCATTTTAGATTTTTGGAGTAGGTTTTCTGCCACCCCAAAACACTAAGTTCAGATGCTGACTTCATATAAACATGGTTTAAGGGAATCAGTAGATTGACCATGAGTATATTTGAAGGTCTTAGTGTTTTTTAAATGAATGGTCAGATATGGTTTTGAAATAACTGATAAAACTGATAAAACTTTACTATTTTAGTTTTCCATGTAACAGGGAAAGATAATTTTTTAGCTCTCTTTTTAAGAGGTTTCCTCTCTTGTGTATTATGTAAGGGAGCTTGACTCTGACTTTTTTCTACACCTGCTTTGATATATTTCACTTAATTTTTTATTCATTTTCTAAAATCCCAATATACATGCTTTAGTGCATGGATTGTCGGTGGGTAAATTATTAAAGACACAGCAAACTATTGTAGAAACACAGCACATCATGACTCATGAAATGAAACATTTACATATATATACTACCAGAATAATAACCAACCTACATATTTTTATTAATAAATGCTTCATGTTGCTTAACAATAGTTTTTTTCCCATACACCTACATGTAAGGATGGCTATAGCAAATTTCAAAAGTAAATTTAGTGTTACATTTGTCTTATTCCTTGTTTTTTTTCTAAAAATGTATGAAGTAATTCATTTAATGAATAGAACCAGTTAAGTTACTAAAGATTAGCTAGCAAATAATGTTAAGGTCCCAAGATTTAGTTTTGTAATGGTGAGCTTTTCTGTGTTGATTAATTGTATGTGTTTGGTTTGCTTGAAAGCACAAAAGGTTGGACTTGACTTCTCGTTGACTGGTCTTAACCCAAATATTAATGTAGCTTAATATGAGATTAGTCATGGTTGAGGTATTAATCAGATTAAATAGAGTTATTGGTTACATCTTTCAAAATAGTTGTGCTGTAAAATATCCTAGAATTATCTGTGATTTTCAGTGTATGGTTACTTATACTCCGTAAGAATAACATCATTGTACATTTCTTTTTGATCTATGTAGTGTTCCTAAGTAATCAACTAATTCTTTTTTAAATTAATTAATTAATTTTTTTCAAATACATTTGTCTCTGCTTACCCCCACAACTTTCCCTTGCCCCCTCCCTCCCTCAACTCTTCCCCTTAGGTTTTGTCCATGAGTCCTTGCTATATGTTCCTTGACTTTCCCCTTCCCTTCCTTTCCTCCCACCCCTCCTCCCTCCTTCCCTCTTGTCTCTGTTGGTTTCTTTTCCTTTCAGTGTTGCTGGTCTAATTTTCCTTGCATCTTTGTATTGTTGATTAGGTTCCACTTATAGGTGAGATCATATGGTATTTGTCTTTCGCCCCCTGGCTTATTTCACTTAGCATAATGCTCTCGAGTTCCATCCATGCTGTCGCGAAGTTTAGTAGTTCTTTTTTTCTTTCTGCTGCATAGTATTCCATTGTGTAAATGTACTATCATATTTTGATCCACTCATCTGCTGATAGAAATTTAGGTTGCTTCCAACACTTGGCTACTGTAAATTGTGCTGCTATGAACATTGGGGTGCATAAGTTCTTTTGAATTGGCGTTTTGGGATTCTTACGGTATAGTCCCAGCAGGGGAATCACTGGATCAAAAGGCAGTTCCATTTTCAGCTTTTTGAGGAAATTCCACACTGCTTTCCACAATGGCTGCACCAGTCTGCATTTCTACCAACAGTGGACTAGGGTTCCCTTTTCTCCACAGCCTCGCCAGCACCTGTTGTTTGTTGATCTGTTTATGATGGCCATTCTGACCGGTATGAGGTGGTACCTCATGGTGTTTTGATCTGCATTTCTCTGATGGCTAGTGATGCTGAGCATCCTTTCAAAGGCCTCTGGGTCCTCTGTATCTCCTCCTTGGAAAAGCGCCTGCCCAGGTCCTTTGCCCATTTTTTTTGATTGGATCATTTATCTTCTTGGAGTGGAGTCGAGTGAGTTCTTTATATATCTTGGAGATCAAAGCTCTACCTGATGTATCATTAGCAAATATGTTTTCCCATACGGTTGGCTCCCTTTTCATTTTGCTGATGTTTTCTTTAACCATGCAGAAGCTTCTTATTTTGATGAGGTCCCACTTGTTTATTCTTTCCTTTATGTCCCTTGCTTTAGGAGACATATCAGTGAAAAAATTGCTGTGTGCGATATCTGAGAGTTTCCTGCCAATGTTCTCCTCTAGGACTTTTATGGTGTTGCGACTTATATTTAAGTCTTTTATCCATCTTGACTTTATTTTTGTGTATGGTCTCAGCTGATGATCCAATTTCAATTTTTGGCATGTAGCCATCCAGCTCTCCCAACACCATTTGTTGAAGACACTATTATTGTTCCATTTTATGCTTTTGTCCCCTTTGTAAAATATTAGTTGCCGATATAGACCTGGGCTTATTTCTGGGCTTTCTATTCTGTTCCACTGGTCTATGGGTCTGTTCTTGTGCCAGTACCAGATTGTTTTGAGTATAGTGGCTTTGTAGTAGAGTTTGATGTCTGGTATTGTGATCCCTCCTACTTTGTTTTTCTTTCTCAAAATTGCTGAGGGTATTCGAGGTCGTTTATGGTTCCATATAAATTTTTGAAATGTCTGTTCTATTTCTCTGAAATATGTCATTGGTATCTTAATAGGGATTGTATTGAATCTATAAATTGCTTTGGGTAGTATGGATATTTTGATGATATTAA